CAACATTGTAAGGTCATTTCTCATGAGACGAGAGCTGTGGTGCTGCGTCCATCTGGAGATATTGTAAGCGATAGTCCTCTGACATCATCCTTTCCTGTGGCGTATTCTAAACAGAGTTCTGTGTGGTGAAAATAGCTCCAGCTGTAAACAAAGCTTCCATGTCTGATTTGCTTTTCTTGGAAAGGAATAACAGTATATGCACTATAATGCCAAAGAAAACATAGGTGGGATGACTACAACAGCTAGCAAGAGAATAACTCAGCATTTACACAATGAAGCTTATGTTATGTATTATGTATCAAAAAGCTTATGTACCAAAAGCCAGATCCACCCTAAACTCATTTCCATCTGCAAAGCATTTTAAACACATATGACTTATATACAATGCAAATATGTGCGCTGTCAGCATGAGTTAAAAAAAAACTTAATTCCTCTTGACCATTCAAAATATGTATTGTAATATAGAACAAAATCTACAAAGCACAAATAAGGCTTTTAGAATCTTTGCTACAGGGTTTTCCTTTAATTCACCAGTTGTGAGTATACGCTGTGCAGTGATATCATCCCCATCGCTTCATTGATCGTAGCTGCCATGGCTACCACAGTGCTGTAACTGTAGCAGTGGTAGGTCAAAGGTTACAAAGATAGCCCTGCAATTGAATTTATGGGAGGGCTTGTAGGTATCAGGTTTTCTCCTTCACCCCCCACACCTCTTTGTTGATTCTGAAGCTGCCTTTCCTTTCCAATCCTCCTCACTCTCTCGCTCCTTCATCCAATCAGTGGCAATTAACCACAAGACCCAGCCAGCTACTGTACCTTTCCCATGATAACCTCTGCCCAATGCAGATTGCTGTTTGTAAACCTTTATGCAGGAATATTTTGACCACACAGTACTGATAAACTTGGGTAAACATTCAGATATCACTGAGAACATATTTTAAAGGAATAGTTCACTCAAAAATAAAAAGCTGCTGAAAGTATACTCTCCCTCAGGTCATCCAAGATGTAGATGAGTTTGTTTCTTTACTGGAACAGATTTGGAGAAATTTAGCATTACATCACTTGCTCACCAATGGATCCTCTGCAGTGAATGGGTGCCGTCAGAATGAGAGTCCAAACAGCTGATAAACACATCAAAATTATCCACAAATAATCAAAACTACTCCAGTCCCATCAATTAACGTCTTGTATAGTGAAAAGCTGCGTGTTTGTAAGAAACGAATCCAACATTAAGACTCATTAAAGATGCATTTTCTTGTCTACCCTCTTATCCTGGGCATTCACAAACTCTCAAGCCTCGCTCTGTCTGTTAAAACTAGTCTTATCAATACCTACATGTATTTTTTAAAGGTGAACCATATGTATCACTTTATTAATAACTTATTAACATTCAACACATTACATTTATAACGTTATAAGTTCACCATAAAAACTCTGGACAGCTCTCTCTAGTGACAAATCATAATCAGTTCATACATTTTAAACATGTTTTTTTCATGTTAAATACGTCAAATCTATTGAAAAGTTTGAATAATAGTAAGTAAACGTAAGTTCTACTTAATACTTAATAAAAAAATTTGCATGTCTTGAATATTTATATGAAGTTATGATATCAGTCATGATTTTGAAAGAGGATCATGTCCATCAAAAAACTAGGGATGGAAACTATATATATATATATATATATATATATATATATATATATATATATATATATATATTTTTTTGTGTGTGTATTTTTTTGGATCGGTGTGTGTTCTGATTGATCATGTGATCTTTTAAATCATCATGGGATTCCTCAAATTAAGACTTTCATAGAGGATCATGTCTATCAAAAAACTAGGGATGGAAACTATATATATATATATATATATATATATATATATATATATATTGTTGTTTGAGTTTAATATGTAAAAATTGGACATGGGACATGGCTTAAGGAAAAAACAAGAGGGAAGTCACTGGTTCACTTCTTTAGGTGCATCGGCTGAGATTCTCATCTGATGTTATCATCATTGTGGAGAGCAGGATGTTTGCTGAGGTGATGGGTGAAGGTCAAAGTGATGCAGTAATGTCTTTTAAGATGAAGATCATAAGTTATAGAACAACACAACAGCTTCTCCTTAAGCTGGTGGCCCATAACCGTATTGTAGGCTTAAGTTTTCTCAACTGTGACCATCGAGGTACACTGTACTAAATAGTTTACAGTAGCTCCAACACTGATCAAACAAACCTCCCTGTAATTTTCTAGTAATCCTGAAGAACGTGATTAACTAGGTCATATGTGTTTAATCAGGGATGGAACTAAATTCTACAAGCACAACGGACCTCAAGGTTGGAAGAAAAACAACTGCTGTAGTAGGCCAACTGCCATCTCGTACAATAGGGGCCTACAAAATTGTATTATATGAGGTTGGAGTAGTCCAATGCAAGTAGTGGTCACTACAGGTTGAAAGAGGGGTTGTGTCAAATAGCTATTTCAGGTGATAAGTAAGAAACATATATATTTTTACATTTATGAGAAGGAATAACAAATCACAGACAGAGTATGTTTTTGTTTTAACAGTATCAGCCACTGCTGAGGAGGGAGGAGAGGTCGGAGGAGGGCCTTTCACCTCTGTCACTGAGCCTTCATTCACCCTCATCACAATGGAGCCGGACGGTTGTGCCATGGGAATGTGAGGTAGAGCTAAAAAAACGACAGTATTGCACAAAATGAAGCAACACTCTCTATTTTAAGTAGGTTATGAAATGGCACGGCTTCAGCACCAGAACTGCCTCTATTGTGTGTTGGTTTTGGTATCTGTTCTTTTGTCTGTCCTCAAATATTGTTTTAAAAGATAAGAAATCCCAGAATTCACCTAAACTTTATACTTTTTGAGAGACTTTAGTGCTCCACCTCAATGCTCAAACTCAGCACTGCCCCCTGAAGTCCACGGGGGTACAAAACAGTCTCTGAACCTGATGCATTTATGAAGACTCACCAGCAAGATAGAGCTAGTGACCCGCCAAAGATGTCATTATTATAGAGGATAAAATAACACATTTACTAACACTGTTGTGTCCTATTCTGACGTAGGTCCCTTATTTAACTAGAGTCTTTATCATTTTAGTCAGATTTGTCAAAAGTGCAATAACACGTACAATAAAACGTAAAAAGTGCACATTTAATTTGTATGGTCACTAGTGCCTACATGCACATAATAAAATGAATAAATAAAAATGTTTATCACTTATTTATCCATGGTATCACAACTTTAATGAAATTGGTACAATAAGAAAACCGTGAAAATTGAGTAATAACCTTCAACCATTCACTACAGACTTGCTTTTCATCCACTGATTTTAATATATAGATTATAGATATAGTATCTATATTATAGATCAGTGCTTCTGTACGGATAATTCCGCTGTGGTGAACCCTAATGGGAGCAGCTGAAAGAAAGAGAGAGATAGATAAGTGCTTGTGCCATGATTCAAATCAACATGTCCCTTTCAACGCTACACCTCAGCAACTCATGTATCATCTAAGTTTCCCACTTGTAAATACAACTTTACTTGATCATTCGTGTGCTCAGAGCTGTTAATTGCGATATTTCCGACTCCACTTGTGCACATTTAATTTGTATGGTCACTAGTGCCTACATGCACATAATAAAATGAATAAATAAAAATGTTTATCACTTATTTATCCATGGTATCACAACTTTAATGAAATTGGTACAATAAGAAAACCGTGAAAATTGAGTAATAACCTTCAACCATTCACTACAGACTTGCTTTTCATCCACTGATTTTAATATATAGATTATAGATATAGTATCTATATTATAGATCAGTGCTTCTGTACGGATAATTCCGCTGTGGTGAACCCTAATGGGAGCAGCTGAAAGAAAGAGAGAGATAGATAAGTGCTTGTGCCATGATTCAAATCAACATGTCCCTTTCAACGCCACACCTCAGCAACTCATGTATCATCTAAGTTTCCCACTTGTAAATACAACTTTACTTGATCATTCATGTGCTCAGAGCTGTTAATTGCGATATTTCCGACTCCACTTGAAAGGCACATTAGCTCAGGGCTCCAGACAAACTATTTTTACTAGGAGCACTGTAGCCCCTGACTGAAAATTTTTAGGAGCACAAGCAGAAAATTTAGGGTCACACCTTTAAATCAGCCTGCAATGCAATCATTCACATATTTTCCTCATTTTGACTGTATTACTGACAAATGCTTTGATTATAAATAGACTTAACTCAGAAATTACAATGTACATTATTATTTTAATTTCAGAGGGATATGACAAATATATATATATATGATATGATAAAATTACTATTGTTTTGCATTAATAAGTGCAGTTATTAATAATATTACATGTTCATTTCATGTTTATACACATTTGACATTCCCTTTAATCGCCTACGCTAAAGTACACTTTCAGTCCGGTCTATGTACCTATGTGTCTCCGGACACGATTTCCGAGGGGATCCCCACCGAACACCCCCCATACCCCACATCTGAGATGGATGGAGTGGCCAAAACAGCAATCTTTTGGGCTGGAGTGGCAATCAAATGAACTCTGGGACTGGAGAGGCTGAGACAGGAGCTCTTGAAATGGGCTGGCGGCTCTGGTTGGGGCCATCCATGACAGGGATTGTAGGATCTGGATGGCCATGAGAGAACTTTAGAGACTGAGATGGCCGTGGCAGAATTACTGCCTACTACAGTCACCAAAACAAAAAGCTCAGGGAACCTCAGCGGCATCTTTGACAGGAAGCTTTGGGTAGCCATAACAGACCCTCTGGGACGGCCAAGATTGAAATCTGGCACTGGTGTGGCTGAGACAGGAAGCTCTAGCAGTGGGCAGCAACTCTGAGACCGGGGTGCCCATCATAGGGGCATTAAAAAAAAAGTGTCAAACAAAAGAACTACATACAGAAACCTATGTACACATCTCTAGGCAGCAATACTGCAAGATGCAAATATTGCTGCCTCAGGACCTGGCGCCAGACGCTACCAGAGCTTTCCAGCCTCGCAAGATGCTAAGAACTGGAGGGATGGAGGGGCCACTCGTGTCAGCCCACCAGACACTAAGCTGACTAAAGAGCAGTTCCTGGATGGCTGTTGCAGGGTGTTCTTGTCTCCATGACTTATGGGATGACCTAAAACAAAAACAGAAACAAAATCAGGTTTATTGACTAATACTTTACATTTAGAACAATTTTGGCTTTGGCATTTGTTACTTACATATACAGCAAATGAAACATCTAAAAAAAGAGTAAAAACAATTAGAATTTTTTAAAACTTAGGGGAACATGTTTCATAACTTGTTATCTCTATCATTTTATGTTGATCATATATAGGTACCTTAAACCAGTCATGGAGAAGGAGTCTGTCAAGAGGAATTCTCTCCTCAGGGTTGGGATGCAGGCAGGCGTTGATCAAATGGCTGCATTCTGTTCAGAAAGAAAAGAGAGACGTTTGACTACTATCTTAAACTTCCTTTACACCTGCTCACAAAAAATCCAGCAAGATGGCCATCTTTTATAAATCCACTTGGCTCAGATGTTACTTTTTCTTGTTTTTCTATGATATACTAGTTTTATACTGTTGGCCTTGTTTGTGAAGATCTCACCTTTTGACAAGCTGGGCAGATATCGCAGCCAGTCCTTGATCTTGTCCAGATCGGTGTGGTCTGGATAATAGCCGCAAACCAAAGTGTACAAAACAACCCCCAGTGAAAACACTGTTGCTTGCCGTCCGTTGTACTTGCCCGTCTCTAAATATTCAGGGGGGCAGTACTTCCTTGTGCCTGGAGGCATGTTTTCTCTGCATCCATTAGCATGTGCAACATGACAAGTTTGTCCATCTACACTTGAAAGTTAAAAATACTGCACAAAATCTCAGCCACCCAGATAATACATACCACTAAAGGTGTTATATGGCATTTCATGCAGCAGGTCCCTGCAGCCGAAATCAATCAGTGTCACGTCCAGGGTGTCTGTGTTCACTAACAAGTTCTCCAGTTTGATGTCTCTATGAAGAACTCCGCGGCTGCAGCATATTAAAAGATTAAACATTTGAAACATTATCTTATATATGAGTAGTTTTAATGGCCTAATGTTATTTGAGAAACTGTATGGAATATTTGTGGTGATACTTTTTTCCCAATACTTAAACAACCTGAATGTTCATGTCTGTATTATATATCAAGCAGCCATAATGTATGTCTGTACGTTTTGGATTATGGCAATAAACTCACTCTCAAAGCTCGTGACCACATCATTGTCCTGCTGTTCTGTCAGCGGGGACACAATCTCACCCTCTGACAGATTAACTGGACTATCATCGACACAAGACTGAGGATGCTCCTGCATCTGCTGGTCCTCAGAAGATGAGAGGATGTCAGAGCTGCTGCTAGGAGCTTCCTGATGATCACAATCCTCTGCAGTACATGTGATGTGCTGTAGAGAAACCTGATCTAAAGAGGGGGATAGAAATCAAATGATTGAATAATCATAACAATAATACTATCTCTAATATGTATATCATGACAGTAGCAGACTTTTTGATGTACAGAGCTCCATTCTATGTATATTTACATAACGTTGATGTGATTTACCATCAGTAGAGCACCTAGAAGATCCAGCCTGCTCCAGCTTCTCACTCTGCTCCACTTTCTCATTCTGAGCTTTCCCGTCCTGACCAGCTCTTGGGCGAGAGAAGTGGAAACAGGCCAGCCTCCTCCAAAACCTCCCTTTCATCCTCATCACCCTCTTCTTCTCTCTCACCTTCATCTCTCCTTCATCTTCCTTAGCAGTACCAGCGCGCCTCTCTTCACGCTGATGAGGATTTGGCTTGTTGGCGGTGGATTGAAGTGGTGTACGTAAATGGGAATTGTACACACACTTGCTATCAGCCGCTTTCTTCACACAAGAAATTTGCTGACCCACGATCATGTCTCTCCAAACTACCCACAAAAGTAATATAGGAGTTTCACGTCTTTACATACTCTCACATTCCACAACTTCGAATTCTGAATGTGACATCATAAGAGAATAGCACAGGAAAGAATCTTGTCTAATGTTGTCCATTTATATCATTCAATATTTGTATCTAATGATACGAGCAAATCAAGTATCCCCCCCCAAAAAAAGACTATTGCTGAAATGTTGTTTAACTACCGCACAAGGCTTAAACATTTTTTTTTTAAATTGATAAATAAATAATATAGAAGAATAGCCTATTTGTAATGAATTTTCACTTCATTAAACATTACAAGAATTTTCAAGCCAAATATTTCCCATAACTATGTTTGTAAGGTTTTAAATATTCAAAACATGTAGCATGCTGCTAAATTGTATACAATTATGTAAATAAAGATCACTTTAAAGTCACTTTATCCCAAACGGTGCTTACCTCCGATAACTCTTTCTCTAGCTATGGGCTATAAAATATTATATTCACATATACTGTACCATAACAAATGTTGTTTTTTAAACACTGCACAAACTCTAGTCATGCTTAGACAATGTCAAAACAAAACAAACAAACAAAAAGCTTCATGTGCTTTTGGATAAAGCTGATGATATTTCTCTGCGTTCCTGGAAGTAATGCTGAATACTCTAAGGCTACAACAACAATGCTTTATTCCTGCTTAAGAAAACAAGAATAAACCAATTTTGTCTTAAAACCTTTTATTTAATGAAATGTTGTGACCATGTATATTGGGTTCTATTCTTTTGGGTTTCTCCAAATGATTTAAATACCTGTCTAACAGTCTTCAGAATGATGTGATCATTTGACACTTTTGAATATCTATTTTCCTCATTCTCTCTCTTGGCTTATTGAAACTTCATTGGCAGTTTTAGAAACAAATGTTGCCAAGTGTGTTGTTGGCATCAATATATTTATACATCATTACTTCTTTTAATATTATTTTATTTATTTCATATTCTGTTCATTCTTTAAAAATAAATGATTAAATCGTTGGATTTGTTCATTGGCAGTTTTAGAAACAAATGTTGCCAAGTGTGTTGTTGGCGTCAATATATTTATACATCATTACTTCTTTTAATATTATTTTATTTATTTCATATTCTGTTCATTCTTTAAAAATAAATGATTAAATCGTTGGATTTGTTTTTTTTTTAGTAAAATGAATGATTGAGTGAATGATGTATCTGATGATCTGCACGTTGGAATAAGGCATTTAAAAACGCGACGACAGTATCAAAAATGCTACACAAAATCTTCAATGGTGAATTTTGTTTGTGCAACGTGACAAAATGCATTTATATTGTGACAAAAAACTATATCTGCCGTTAATAAATACATACAAAAACGTAACGACCTTTTCACAACGTGGAAAAACACTTTTACAACTTAATTGTGGTTGCTGTGTTGATAAAGACGACAAAACTCTAGATTATTATAATTTTTTTTAATAATATGGTACCTTGCATTACAAACATCTAATCACAGCTGACTATTATAAACAAATTCACAAATAAACCTACAGTATCATCATCTAGTTTTTGAAGCTGGGAATATTATTATTATTATTGTTGTTGTTGTTGTTGTTGTTATTCTTTTGGAATGGGGACTTTAATTTTGAAGAGGGAACACTTTTATTTTAAAAATCATTGACGTTCCTTACTTTCACGAGTCACGACCTCGGAGCATTGGTGACAGTGTCACAGCTGACTAAAGATTGCCCTTATTAATCAGTCTGCCCAAATGAAGACAGAACCTGAACTACAGATGAGTTTAAGACGATAAACCGACGGGTTAAGGAAACTTGGTGAGCTTTGATTGATAATGTTTTCTATTCCAGATTTTCAGGTTCCTGTACTGTCTGCTTCAATGAACACGCTGTCATTTATGTGAACTGATATGATCTAATAACAAAGATCTGTTGCTCCCATATTATTTATAGTTTACTATGGTAAGAAACTATAGTTTTCGCCCAAATATCCTGGTTCCTACAGTTTTTGTTATCACTGTAAAATTATCATGAGCTAATATGGCATTTCCATATTGTACAAAGCTTTCGGAGTCTATCTCTGTATTATTATTATTATACCTATAGAGTCTATATCTGTATTAACCTCTGTATTTTTGTAGTGACTAATACCAAATTAGCACAATGTTGCAATATAAGTCCTAACGTTATAGGTAAATGACCTATGTTTTTAAGATAACGAGATTTAATATGTTTGATAAAGTATTATATAACGTTATATTTGTATTTTTTAATAAAAATGTTGGCCTCGAATGTATTAAATCAAAGGTTATATATATATATATATATATATATATATATATATTTAATTTTTTCTAAAAATGTATCAGTATATTTGGTCCCAAATGAGCCTAATGAGTGAGTGCTTATTTTCTGCCTAATTTTCAACACTTTTATTTATTAATAACATTATTTACAATTTTTGTCAGTTTATTTCTACAGTGGTCAATAAGTAAATTAGTGTTTTAAACTCGATTTCCCAAATTTTAGTAACAGTGTTACAATTTTACCTCATTGAAAAGTTCTCATATGATATTTAGTTAATTTCCTAAAGGTTAAAACACCTCCTTTCGGTTTATTTATATGTAAAACAGAAATGAGGCACTATTTTGTACATTATTCATAGAACATTTTGCATACATTGAAGTGTCTCTGAAGGAAATAATGCATTATTTATCGGCTTTAAGATATCGGCCAAATTTTCTTATCAGGCCAATACCGATAACAGAAAAAATGAGCATTTATCGGCCGATACCGATATGGTGGCCGATATATCGTGCATCCCTATACATTATGGTTACCATGGTAAATTTTAATAAGGCTGTAATGTTTACCACTTTTACACATGAAAGCTATTCACATAAATGTTCTTTGCTGTTTTCACAGAACAACATCTACTCAACAGAAAAAGGAAGATGGGTCCGACTAGAGTTTTTCCAATTCTTCATCGTGTTGCTGCTCTTTCTTCTATCCGCAGTACAATGGCATTAAGACATTCCCTTTGTAAACCTACTGTAAAACTGTGCTATGCCTCCCTCTGCACCCTCCAACAGACGAGATCTGTTTCAACAGAGACTGCCTTAAGCCATCACATTTCAGGCCTGACTGACAAGGAGAAAAGACTACTGACCAAGCTTTATGATGGACTTATCGGAGGTCAAAGGGCAGCTCTCGCTGAATCTATAACCCTTGTGGAGACCCAGCATCCAAGGAAGAAAGAGTTGGCCCAGGTTCTGCTTCAAAGAGTGCTGGCCTTCCGTCAGGAGCAGGAGAAACGCAATGGTGGAAACCCAGTGGCCTTCAGAGTGGGTCAGTAAGGTGATGTGAACTGTAGGAGTGAAGCTGAAGCGTATTGCTGTTTGTCACATCTTTGTTCGTGTGACTTCAGGACTGTCTGGTCCCCCTGGTGCTGGAAAGTCTTCATTCATCGAGGTCATTGGGAAAATGCTGACAGGAAGAGGACATAAAGTGTCAGTACTGGCTGTGGATCCTTCCTCATGCACAACTGGAGGTGAACAGATGCTCAAATATCAGAAAGTTTTGCTACCAAAAGATGGTGGTGCCAGTTTTATCTTTGTGCTTTAGATGTTTGCATATGTATATATTTGTTTGTAAGTCACTATAGTCAGCAGTTATGTGGTTACAAATTTTCATATTGACATAATTATCATATTTTCACAATGATGTCATTTTCACTGCTGAAGCTGTGCACACATACATTACTAATCAAACGTTTGGGGTCGTTTTTGACCTTATCGTCATCGAGGCTGCATTTATTTGATCACAAATACAATAAAAACAGCAATATTGTGAACAAATATCATTAAAAATAACATTTTTTCTTTTGAATATTTTTCAAATATAATTCATTCCTGTGATTGAATCGCTGAATTTTCACAAGCCATTGCTTGGGTTTTCAGTGCCATCATTCTAATATGCTGATTTGCTGCTCAAGGAACATTTCTTACTATTGTTAATACTGCAAACAGTTGTGCTGCTTCATATTTTCATGGAAAACGATTTATTTTTCAGGATTCTTAGATGAATAGAAAATACAAAAAAAAC